GGGCATGGAAATTTCTCTTTTTTGTATCCAAAAAATATCGAACCGTGAGACTAAAGTACAGAACCGAACCAAAGCGTGAATTTTCTGCATCATTGCACCCCTAAATATGAGATGATTTTGAAATCTAAAAGGTTGCTCCTGCCAAACAAATGTTTCAGTAACCCATCTGACTGAAATGTCAATCAAACTATCAAATAATGAACGTTTACTCTGAGCTGCAGTGATGAAATATGAATAAGTAAGCAATGAATTTAGAAGGAAAGTGTTTCCAAACAACAACAACAACAACAAAAAAAAAGAAATGTGCCAAAGAAACATCATCACTGAGTTATTTTGTAGTTGTTCTGTAATCATGAGCTCCAGTTTTGAAACACTAAATTAACACCAAAGGCAGTTGTACAGCTCAATAAATCTCCACAATCATATCTAGCTGACTCTTCACTTTCTTACACAACTAAAGAAAACAAATATACCCACTAACACAGTCAAACAAATATTACAGGCACTAAAAGGAGATTTGAGAAAGATAGAAGTTGTGGAGGAGTTGATCATAAAGACAGGGGAGAACAGCCACGTTTGTCTCAATTCAACAGCGTCCTCGTGTGTCTTTAAGCTGTAATTACATCCTTACAAATCAGCCACTGAGGGGATGAGGGGAAATAACAGTCGAATAAAATGATTTAAGTTATTAAAAGTAGCRTTAATTTTTCACAGTCACACACACCAACCTGTCCACAGCCTCAACGTCAAAACAGAACCGCTTTTCTATCGACTCCGTCTTCCTTCTGGTGCACGATTTGAGATGGAAGCTCTCCTCTTCTCCCTGACAAACAAACGCGTTTTAGTCACAGAGCATCACTTTTACCAAAATGGTTTTAAAACAGAAATACTGAATTCACCTACTGCCATAATAATGAGATAATATGGGATGCTATTTATGTTCTCAATCATTTTGTCTTTAACCTGCTAATATTGATCCAAACAAGTGCTGGTTCACAAAGTGTTTCTATGAGWCTTAATAAAGACATGAGGCATTCTGTGATGGTTAGTTTGATTCTAGTGACACAAAATGCAMAGTAACAAGTCAGAAAATGAAAGTAAACATCTATAATCTTTAAAATATTCATGCTGCAGAGCTCACTCGATACATAATTCATTAAAGGCCAATCTCACCAAWAAGAGTCCTAGTCTGAGTAAGAAAGCTGGTGCTCACTCATCCGTCAGTGTTTCCAGGTAAAAGTGTCAGGAGGTGTTATGTAAATACTCCTTACACCAAACGACTGGATTAGTACTTGATAGTGGAATGATTTATTGCTATTATTCTCCAACAGCTTTTGATTTTGTACGAAAAAGAATGAAAGTGCTATTTCAGAGAGCAGAAAGTGTTAATATTATAATAATATTCATAAAAATAGATTGTCTGTTGTTTCAGTGAAGTTTGTATTGTTTTCTCTAAGTGTGATGTCACATCCTGTAACTAACACGTCAYGTGTACCTTTGCTTACCATTTTGCCTCCAGATTTGGGGTCAAACAAAACCATGGTGAACTTCTTGCGCTGCCGATAATATGTGCAGTAGTACTTGACCCAGGTAGATACGAACGAGCCTGAACAAAATATTTAAAAAGGAGAGAGAAGAAGAAGAAGGGATGAAAAGAGAAAAAAAAAGTTAGGACAAAAGGTCAGGCAACAGAAGAATCAAAATGAAAATCATGATGTCAAAATGGTTGAAGCTAAACAAGGACAGGGCTGAAAAAAAACAAACAACAACAACAACAGAAAGCATGAGTCAGGCCTCCTTTAGCAGTAGATAGTTTACCATGGCAACCGGAGGAGAACAGGCCGCCGTCACGTCTGCTGCAGATCAGACCTGACTTTGTCAGAGATCGTTCATTATGGTTTGTTTGTTCTGCTGCTCTGGTGCTGAGTGAGAGTGTGTGTGCACATGTGTGTGTGTGTGTATGTGTGTGTGTATGTGTGTGTGTGTGTGTGTGTGTGAGTGTGAGTG